ACGCACGAACTTGATAAGCTGTATTAAAAAGAAATGGATAATAATTAGAATATGTATAAATAACAATCCCATAAATAATAATCATAATAAGAAGAAAAATTACCTAAAAACTATTAGTGAAGTTTTGAAATTGCAGCAAGTAAGCAAAGTAGCCTATATAATAAAAAACAACATAAATAAATATAGAAGTTCAGATGAGCAGGTATAATTGTCACAAGTACAAGACCTTTCTTTTAGATATGGGAATGACATGTAGATTTTTAAACTATGAGGGATGTTTTTAACAGCAGAAAACTAACATAAGCCCTATGATCAGGGTCCTTAATAGTCCAGACATTACAATGCAAATCAAAATCCTGTCCATGTACAAATCAAATCAACACAGTCCACATATCAATTTCCAATAATCCAATAAAAAAAGTTTTGCATTAGATTACACAACACAACAACGTGAACAAGGAACCAAAATAAAAAAGCAATAACCACTAGAATGAAACACAGGCTGACAGTTCAAAATAAAAATTCCAAATATTCACACCTGGGGACTCAACAAATAAAATGTCCAAACTACAAGAAGAATTAACAACCCCCATTTAAACTAATCCACTCAAAAGAATCAACCAACATATAAAAATCCAAGCATAACAATATGAAATCACCTAGCAATCCTTGTCCCCACTCATACGAAGACAACCAAACCAGAACCACTAACTACCATTCGACAGGCCCCATTCAGAAGCAACAACATCAAGTAGAGTCAAAATTAACAAAACTAAACCATCAACCCTCAATGGAAAATGCAATACCAGATCATAATAAAGTAGAAAGAGAAAATAAAGCAAGCGAGGGAAGTTGGCTCACGGGCTCACCTTAGATTAGGGGATGGCACTGCTCTGAGGACGCCACTCACGGTAGGGGCGCCACGACTGGGAAGGATCCGCAGTCGAGGCTGTTGGTTCGTCGCGACGACTTGTGATTAGGGCTAGGAAATGGCTCATGACACCCCTGATGGTCGGGGGGAGGGAGGCACGGTTATGGCTTATAAAGACGACCAATGGTGGCACAACCGCGGAGGGTACGAGCGGCGATATGATGCCCGTAAGGGTGAATGACTGGCTAGGGAAAGCTGTTGAGATGGGAGCTGGGGCGAGGGAGGCTCGATGAAGGGCTGTTGGGCTTCGATGGTGGGCGACACCTGGAATGGAGGACGAAGCGGAGGGTGGCGCAGGGTGAAGATTTGGAGAATGAGTGTTTGAGTGGAGAGCAAAAAGATGTGAGACATCCGAGTATTTCCCAAAAATATTTTATTAATATAATAAAATATTTTGTCGAGTAACTTTAATAAAATGGTATTATGAGTTATTTTAAGACTTGATAATTTTTAAATACATTAATAAATAATATATATATTATGAAATTTGTAATAGAGTGAAATAGATAAATTTAGAATTTAGTTTAAAATGAAATAATAATAATAATAAGAGTAATATCATTAAGCAAAATTAGTAATATAATTTTCCATTGATAAAAAAATTTAATTGGTAAATGCAAAAGTAAGTGAGGGTAATTTTGGAAAGGAAGTCAAATTTAAAGAAGAGAAAGACCAATTTTCTTTCTCACTTACGAAGCCATTTTGGGAGCACGGGAAGAAGAACAAAAGCTTGGTTTTGCTTGCCCACACCATCTTGGTTCATCCTTTTTGCAATTAAGAGTAAGATCCATGAAATTAAAGCATTGGATTTCAATATTATCTCCTAAAATCTTCTTAATCTCAAACATATGGTCATTTTGATGCTTATAGGAGACAAACTTTTCTTGAACTAAGGATCTCCATTTTCTTGTTTGAAAGCTTCATTTGAGGTAAAGAGAGTCTTCTTGTCATCAACCCTAGGCTAAACCATCATTTATCTCACTTCTACATGAATTGGAATCAAATTAGAATATTTTATAAAAATTTCGTATGGCTATTCTAGTATATTTAGATACTCTACAATGCTCCTTTCATATTTTAGAGGTTAGAAATGGATTCCTTGGATGTTAAAACCTAGAGTTAGCCATAAAAATCAATTAAATTGGATTTTTCTAGAGGAAGATGATGAAATATGTGTTGAGAGATGTTATTGAACAAAAATCTGCATGTGAATAGAATCTTTGGGAAATTATGTAAAAATATTTACTTGGTATTTAATTCTGAAATTTTGATTAAATGTTCCTTTATATGTTTAGTTCGTGTGTGATTTATTTCAAAATTTTCTGACCATTTGATTTTTGATGAAAAATCTTGGAAGTAAATATGTTTTGAGTTGGGTGAAACAAAATTGTTATGTTCGCTCAACAACTTTGAAAAAATCATATAAAATCGAAATTGAAGTTTTTTTAGATGAAATTTTTATTATAGTTGTGATTGTAGGTATATGTTAAGTATATTTATTTTCATAATTTTATGACCATTATTTTATTTTATAAAAATATATCTTTGAGTAATGCCCTGATAATGAAATCTTCAAAACGTATGAAAATGGAGGAAAGTTTTGAATGACTTAGAAATCTTTAAATTTTGAATTATAATTTTTATTATAATTCTAGAATATATGTATTTTGGACTGGAAAATTTCATAGAATTTGGAGTTAGTTTAGATGGCAAAGAATTTTTCCAAAGTTACACTTTTCTAATGCTTATGATAGATTTTTCTTCCTAGAGAAGTGTAAACAAAACTTTAGTTCTGGACTTATTATTTATTTTATGAGTATGTATGATGTGAGAATGATAGTGTAATGAGACATTTTGGGACATAAGATTAGAATAACAAGAGTTAAAAAAAAAAGAATTTGATGGATCGCAATGTGTACTGAGTTCGAGAGTGTCCGACCCTTGACAAATTTATATTGTTCTTGTGTTGATGCAGGAAAATGTGTTATATGAATTTTATTTGAATGTATTTGTAAATTGGGAAACATTCAAATTACAAAGGAGATTCTGTCAAATTTTTGAAATTGATGAAAAATAAATAAAGCTCAATAAGATGTTTGTGCTATGTGCTGAGTCTAAGTCAGAGATGTTGGTCATCTAAAAATAGGGTATTATGTCTATAGTGATATAGTCTATATGATGTAGAGTTTGTTCCTACCAAATATATTGTTGTTAAAGAGTTGGTGGTGTCACTCAATGATGAGATATGTGTGTGGATGGTACGAAGATACACCAGAGGCTTAGGAGATAAGAGAAGATCAGAGTGATCTTGGGGAAATATAGAGTGCATAGTTTGACCACGCTCTATACTCCCGACTTGCCTCTTTGACTTTGCCTTTTTGCCAAGGGATTGTTATGCGTAAGCATTGTATCTGTGATGCGCAGATCAACCAACAACTATCTATACTTCTGTGAGCCATTTATGCTCGTGTGTAATTTTGTTATGCTTATGAGAGTTGTGTGTACTTATGTGTGATCCTTTCATGGATTGAAAGATGGGATTGATAGTGTATCCTAGGTGCATGAGCATTTCAAATGTGGCAAAAATGAACGAATAAAACACTAACATGTATTGTGTGTTTTTAGTTTGAGTAATGTGATTTGTGGAAATTGTTTGAAATTTCTGTGTGGGATACTTTATTGTAAAAATGAAATGTTTGACTATAAATATTACATATGGTTTTAGATTGTGGAGGTTGGAAAAATTTTCGGTTTAGTGTTCTGGAGTGATGAGAAAATGAAACTCATCCTTACTGTTATATTTCAGGTAATGATGGAACAATTGTGGTGGAGGAACCACAGTTTGATTGAGTATCATACATATGTATGGAAGAATGCTGCCCTCCGGGAGGGGTATGATCTTGTATAAGAAAGTTAGGAAATTTGGGTACCTGCTCTGATTAGGATTTGCTTTATTTTGATATGTATAAATTTAAAATTAAGTTCTAATCGTTTAAGGGTACAAACTTTATGTAATTATAGTATGATCCTTATTCGATTAGTTATTTTGAAAAACAATGTATTATGATTATGAATGTATATGTATGAATATGTTCGACACATCTTCTATATATATTCATTAACGCATGATCAGTTTTAAAGTTCGTTGTCATAAAGAAATAATATTGTAAAAACAAAATTATTCTCATTTTTGAAAAATTAAATAAATTAGAAGAAAATAAAAATGACGTTACAAGATGTGTGAGTGAGATGTGTGGTTGAGACTAAGATGAGAGGAGGGGATTGCATGAACGAAGCCTGGAATTGAGTGTGGATATTGAAAGAATGATTTAGTGACGACTTAGTGAAGGTGAAAATTAGGATAAGATGTAATTGATCGATGTTGTTTTTTTTTTTTTTTTAAAAAGTAAAATATTAAAAAAAATTGAAAATTTTCGTGATTATTAATGATTAAATTTTTTGATTACTATATACCATCTAGGAGTATCAATCCATTACAAAAATATCTATAGTTTTGATATATTTTTCGAGTACATGAGTCTCAAATCTAAATGATGAGTCACATTAATAATAATTTTACTATAAAAATATGATGTCAGTGATATTATACAACACCAAAATATATATATATATATATATATATATATATATATATATATATATATAATCAAATTTTTAAATTTTTTTAATAGTTTAAAAATTGTCCAATAGAGTTATTATAATCATTAAGGTAAAATATAATTATTTTTTTAAAAATCCATATACAACTGTAAAGATTTTAAAACTAAAAATAAAATTAAGGAAAATAAATTAGAAACTAGATAAAAAAAATTATAAATTCTTGAGTGTCCGTTAACATCTAAATTTATTTCTATTTGTTATAATATTAAAATAGTATCGGTCTAAGAGTTGTTACTCTTCAATCACCCTACCCTTCTTCTTGAAGCTCAAAACTTCTCTCTCTTCTCAACCACCTTAGACAACTCTCGTATTGCGTTGTAGTTCGTTCCCCACACCGCACTGCAACCAATTCCAAAGCGCCACCCTTTTCTCCGAACAACCACCATCAATGAATTTCCCAAAAAGCCCTCGACCTTCTTCTCCTTATTCTCTCTCCTCCTCCTCTTCTTCTCCTTCCTACATTCCACCCCACCGTACCCAGGTGCACCCTCGCATGATCTCCCTTTATACTTCTTCTTCGACTCACCCAAATCCAAATCCCCACAAACCCCATGCAGCCAAATGCCTCCTCTTCCTCTTCGCCTTCCTCTTCTTCACCGCCCCCTTCCTCTTCTACATCTTCTTCACCGCCCTCCAAATCCACTCTTCCCCCAAATTCACCGACTCCCGCCCCGCCTCCTTTGCCCTCGCCCTCCGCGCAGGCCCCCACGCCCTCCGCCTCTCCATTTTCCACTTCCTCGGCCCCGGCATGGGTCTCCTCGCTGCTGCCCACTCCGCTGCCGCCGTCCCCGGTTTCGCCGCCCCGCCCGACGCACTCCGTCGCGCCGTCGCCGAGCTCGTCCGGTTCGCCAAGGGTAGGGTGCCCCGCCAGGAGTGGGGGAATGCCGTCGTGCGACTCGCGGTCTCCGAAGAGCTCGAGGAGCTCGGCGCCGAGGAAGCAGAGAAGGTTCTGGAATGTTGCAGACAGGCCTTGAGGGTGTCTGGCTTCCTGTTCAAGGATGAATGGGCACGCGTCGTTTCAGGTTAGTTTGGGTTTGGTTACATTTATTTGAGAAAATACATACTTAATGTTTCTTTTAAATTAAGTTAAGATTTTAGTTAAACCAAGGAGTTGGGTAGAAGTGGTTATTAATGTACAAATCCCAAGTTGGAGTTGTTCCTCATGCCCGAGTTTGTTCTTTGACCAAAATAATCATTAGCCAAATATGAAGCAAAACCTAAGAGCCTTGGGATTCCTAGATCGAATTGTTCGGAATGCCTGAGTTCGTTCCTTGACAGAAACAATCATTGACCAGAGTGTGGCAAAACAAAGAACCTTGGGATACTAATCGACCATGTTCATGAACAAAAAAAGTTAATAATTTAGTTAGAATGCACTAACAATGTAGTTCCAGTGTTATTCAATCACACATTAATATTTGACTTTTATAGTATATACTTTGATCACAAATTGCTGTGTACGGTGAGTTTGTTGTCTTTTGTAATATATAATTCCTATGGTGTTAAATATAAGAAAAAAATAATCATGTTTAGTAGACTTAAATATAAACCAATTTTAACTAATGTATCTCTTTATTTTATGAATCAATAACATTAAATAAACTTAACTAACATTCTTAAATAGTGTAAAATTCGGAAAGGCTGCATCATTTATAAGTAGCATTTCTATTTGGTGTAAAATTCTTAATACTATCAATGCATTAATATTGAACTCTAGAATGTGTGTTTTATGGGCATGCATAACTTTCAAGGTTATCAAGTCTACGTTGACTCGTGAGAACTTCGTAGACTCGAGAGTCTACGTTGACTCGTGAGAGCTTTGTAGACTCGACTCGTAAACTCGACTCGTAGACTCGTAAGAATCTACTTCATATGAAAAATTCTATATAATACCATATAAATTCAGAATTGCATCATCACAATTAATGAAAATAAAAAAATAGTTCAATAATTCTAAAATAACTTAGTTCAACAAACATGATTGTTATATAAGTTCAAATTACACCAAATACATAAGTTAATACAAATCACCAAAACATAAATAACTTCAACTTTCTGGCTCCAATCCTCCAATTATATCATCTCCAACATCATCATCTTTTTCATCTTCGTCATCATATTCTCCATCACCATCAACCTCTTCCTCGGACGATAAGAGTGCATCATCAACATTGACATCAAACACTATATTATCAAGATCAATTGGCTCTAGAGTAGGATCAACTGAACTTAGTTCAGCTATGTCAACATTTTCCTCATCACCTTCACCTTGAACTGGCTCAATCCCAACATTATCACCATCTTTTATTATCCATTCATCATCAGACTCAATATCATCAAATGGGTTCTGACCTTCCACAGATTGAGAAATGCATACTGTTGAAACACTTGGAACTAAAGGGGATTGACCCTAACGGTTAAATTTTTCAATTTGAACTTCAAAAACTCCTGATACTCCTTATCAGAAACCTTCATATCTGGCTTCTCCGATTTAGATGCATGGGCAGTCTTATTCGGAAAGCCATGCAAGGAATAATAATTTTTCTGCGTGTCCCATCCTCTTACAATGGGTGCATTGAGGACGAACTTTCGAACTACCACGTCCACCTCGATTGTTGCGTCCTCCCCCTCGACCCCGAGGGGCAACCATAGCAGAAGTTTCAACAATCTCTACCTGATTCTCATCAACCATGAGATTAGGAACCCGAATCAACCTAGTGAGAAGATTATCCATTGATGGAACATGATCGCCAGCTAGGATTTGATCACGCACGTGATCAAAGTTAGCATGTCGACTTCTCAAAATTAGAAGCATATATAGCTTATCGAGTTTGGTGTTAACTCCTCTAAGGTATTTGCCACAAGAAACTTTTTTAATTCTTCCACAACAACCCTAGCTTTTGCGATATGAGCCATCATGTCGTGATTGGTCTGCTTAAGTGATGTCACTTTTTGAGTTGCATCAAAGAGACGTTGAATATCATTAGCAAAAATGTCTTGAGTCTTTTTCCAAAAAGAAGAACAAGTTTTGAATGATCTGAGAAACTCAAGAACATCCGATTCTAAAGATTGCCATAAGATTGCACAAAGTTGGAAGTCTATTTTCTCATGGAGACCTTTTTGCAGCGAAAATAGATTCTACATCCTTCTCCAAATGGTCATGATGCCCTTGACCGAGAAACCACAACTTAATTGAAATAGACCATGATAAGTAATTTTTCTAGTTGAGCCTGACACTAGTTATGGTAGGAGTAACAGAGAAGATGAAGACAGAGGATGAGGCCATCTGGACCAGAAAAGATGAATAAAGCCAACGAATAGGGTCACCCATGGGACTTTTCACACGCATTTCTCAAACAAGAAAAATAAGGGCACCACTAGACTCGGAGGACGCTGGCGAGTCAAACAGAGATGGTCGGCCTTGATTCCAATCACTGGAAGGTGGTGCGTGGGACACACACCCCTGAGAGGGCTCACTGGGATGACCGCACATGGGGCAATTGACAGAGGAGCGACTTGCAGGGGTGAGTTGCGCTCCTCGAGGCGTGCAAAACGCCTCCTTCGCAAGTCCAAACGGAGATGGTGGCCGGCGGTGACGATGATAGACGGCGGCTAACGACGGTTGGAGTTGACAAAGGCAACCGAAAATCAGTGTGGGATCTTATCCGCTCTGATACCAACTTGAGAAAACTTATTTAGGGTTTTATGAAGTAACCAAAGACACTAATATATTGTATTTATAGAAAAAATGGTACAATAGAGAGGATATGGGCCTCAGCCCAAACCCTTAACCCTAGTCTAAGGAACATTGAAAAAGAATACTAAAAGATACATAAACAACATATCTCAACATGAATGTTTATGTGATGTGTTAAGGTTCCAACATAAAACCAATTGGCAATATGTGGAGTAGCCTAACATGTATTTAAACCATACCAAATGATATGAGGTAGGCGATGTGGGACTTTCAACACACCCCCTCCAACGAAGCCCGCCGGACCAGGCAAAGGGTACTTTTGACCCAACTAAAGGACAACTTTTGGCCCATGACAATAACCGGAAAGATGTTAGGCTTTGGCTCTGATACCATGTTGAACATAAGGGAAATTAACCCTATACAGTTTTTCCCTATATTCAACATGATGCATGTAATGAAGTGTTATGGAATGTGATTATAGTCTTGTAGATATTATTGCAATCAATGATTATGCAAAATATTTATGAGCAAATGCAGCTGCAATTGTGGTTGTGATACAGTTATCTAGACCTTAAAAGATGCGGGATTTGGTCCTGAGAGTGGCTGAAAATAGAGCAATTGTTTCTTTAAAATCAAGTGAAGAATTTAATTAGAATGCACTGATAGTGTGGTTACTTGAATTACAAATTATCATGTATGATATGTATGGCGAGTTTGTTGATTTGTGCTTGGTAAAATTTGAATTTGGCTGTGACTAGTTGTTGGTGGTATGGGAGTTATCACGAGACTGTTGATAGTTGTTATTCTTAGCAGTTCATGTCTCGAGCTGTTGTCTTTACTTTGTGCTTTGGTGCATATATATATAAAAAAAGTGGTTTTTTAGTGTTGGAGATGGGCTTCTAGTTCTCTGGAAAGTAAACTAGAAACAGTATGAACCAGAAAGTAAACAGCCACAAGCTGATGCAGAACACCCACCAAAATTCATGACACACAATGCTATCTTAGAAATTATATAAAACAGTGACTTATCACTCCTCTTTCTTATGAAGTGTTCTGATAAAATAGTTTTACTGATTTTATATCTCTTACTACGGATTTTGATAGAAATGAAGTTTTTTATGTCAATGATGAAGTTTATAATCTAAACGTAGGGGAAGAGCAAGGCATCTCTTCTTGGGTTGCAGTAAATTATGCTCTTGGAAAATTGGGACGTGAGCCCCAGGAAACAACTGGAATAGTTGAACTTGGTGGGGCTTCTTTGCAGGTTTTTTCATTCACTACATATGACAATCTTGTTCACAATATATACAATTTCATTTTTATACAGATAAATCATTATGCATCAATATTAAGTTCTTATGTCTGCAAAGGAAATCGTGGAGCTTTCTTTGTAAACCTATTTACATTTATGTGATACATTGGCTTTAATATTTTTTTCTCTTCTGTAATCTTGATGATAGGTAATGAGGAAAATATCTTAGAGGCCCAGGAATAAGTGGTGAGGATCAGAATATTAAACATTCTTAGGAATTTACTTGTTTTTCTTTTATAGGTTAAGGGTGCTTAATTTTGTCAGTAGATGGTGTTGGGATTGGATTATAAATCGCAGTACATAAATTTTGCATTATTATGTTGTTGTTTTGATATTTGTTTGGCCAACAAAACTCCTTGTCTTATTCCTTTCAGTGGACAGGAGGGAAACTTTAAGATGGATAATTCTTTTGTGATAATCATTTAGAGAGGAAATTACACTTAGCATACCTTTCCTTGTCCAGGTTATACTGCTCGGTTTTGTTAGAAGTAAATTGTTACTGTTACCCATAGTTACTGGCATTTTGAGAAGCTTTAGTAACGTTGTGAAATCATATCTTTATACTTTTATACCCTTGTTTCGCAAGCTTTATATATTAATCGAAGGTCACGTATTCCATTGAGGTTGTTTTATGATTCATTTTGCCTTTTCGGCTATGGAGATATCTTAGTCTCCTTTTAGCTCAACTTTCCCTTGTTTATTCTGTAATACCAAAAATTTCCTTGAATATCTAACAAAAGTTATTCCTTATGGACATATCTGATCAATTTCTTAATAGATTTTGAACTGGATATTGTTATTTGCAGGTTACATCGGCTAAACTTAATTCAGATTTAGGTCAGTCTTCGCGGACTATCAGATTGTCTGGCGTTACATACAACCTTTACACTTGGAGTTTGCCACAACTGGGACAGGTGCCTTTCAGCCTTTTTCTGATGACTGAAACCAGTTACATGTGCTTTAAGTTTATGATTTATCTACCTTTTTGCAAAAGTAAAAGTATATTAACAATCACATGTCTGCAAGCTCTTTTTTCAAGTTTTATCATCTATATGTTTTTCAAATTTCAATATTTTCGACAAATGCATATAATGATGATTTCAAATTAGATAAATTTTGCATGGGCGTGAAAATATTAATCTATATTGAATCAGAAACTGACTTTTTTAATTACTAATTGAAATCAAATAATGTATTAAGGTTCACAACCAAAAATGAAAAACATCTAAAAAATTGTGTTGTAAAAGCAAATCATTATTTACATATAAAAATATGAATGGAATTAGAAGGTATTTGATATGGTTCTTAATAGAACCAATTAGAAAACTAGGAATCTCACTAAGAAACTCGAAGAATTCTTAGAAATTCAGAGAACTCTATGAAAAAAAGAGTTTTGAGGATTTATTATCAAGAAATGTTTGATACAATACAGAGAGAAGAAAGAATGATTTATTCAAAAAAGATCCCCGCATTGGTTGCAGCCAGCTATCTTTTATAGCTACAACCAAACACTAAGCTGAAAAGGTAGTTACTAATTGCCTTAACTACCTATCAATGCCAGTCATTGCCAGCTGTCAGTTACAACAATTACAACAAATATACTATAACAACTATAACATTTCCCTCTCCTTCAAAAAATCCTTGTCCTCAAGGATGGAACTCTGGATATTTCTTCAGCAAGTCATAATAAAATTCCCATGTCGAGTCTTATACTGCTTGATCTCTCCACTTAACTAAGACTTTTGTGGCTGCTTGTCCTTTCCTCTTGACAAAAGTGTGGTCCAAAATGGCTTTAGGTTCTTTAGCACCAAAAACATTATTTGAAGTAGTAGGTAGAATAGATGAAGTAATTGCTGGTCCAACATGTTTCTTCAATTGAGATACATGAAAAATATCATGTATTTTTGAACTTGTGGGCAACTTTAGTTTATAAGCAACTGCTCCTATTTTGTCTACCACTGGGAATGGGCCAAAATACTTTGGAGCTAGTTTTTCATTTCCCCTTTCTGCAACTGAGACTTGCCTGTAAGAATGTAACTTTAGATAGACTAAATCTCCAATTTCAAACTGTCTATCAGTTCTGTGTTTATCTGCAATTTGTTTCATTCTTTCTTGTGCCCTTCTTAAATGGAACTTCAGCAGTTCGAACATCTCTTCCCTCTTAGTAGGACTTCTGTCTACTAAGTCAATTTTTGATTCACTAGGAAGATAGGGAAGATAAGTAGGAGGTGGTTGTCCATATACTATTTCATAGGGAGTAGCATTGATGGCTGTGTGAAATGTGGTGTTATACCACCACTCAGCAAGAGGCAGCCACTGAACCCAATGAGAAGGAGTGTCACTACACATACATCTCAAGTAAGTTTCAAGACATTTATTAACAACTTCAGTTTGTCCATCAGTTTGAGGGTGATAGGCAGTAGATAATTGTAGATGGACTCCTTGTAAAGTCATGAGTTCCTGCCAAAATTTGCTAACAAACACAGGATCTCTATCACTGGTTTTAGATTTAGGATATCCATGCAACTTGAACACCTGATCTATAAAAGTTTGAGCAACTGATTGAGCTGTATAGGGATGGGACAATGTCATAAAATGTGTTGCCTTACTCAATCGGCCAACTACCACTAAGATGACCCGCTTCCCTTTCGAAATTGGTAGACCATCAATAAAATCCATTGAGATGTGTCTACCAGAATGACCTCCCATTGCAGAGTTGTGCATCCATTGAATTAGGTCATTTCTCAGTTGTAAGTCTCTGCCCACCACTAGCTTTCCTTTTCTCCTGAGATCAGTACCATTCCACTGATGATGTCTATGTGAATTCTTATTCTCCTGCCATTGCTATATTAATTTTTGTAGTTTTGTGTCTTGAGTGCAAGAATTTTTTATCGTATTAATTAGATCAGATTATTTGTGACTAGAGTATAGCAGTCTCCATATTCTAGCCTTGAGAGGGCATCAGCAACTACATTATCTTTGCCTTCTCTATGTTCAATGGAGAAATCAAATTCCATCAATTTCACTAGCCATTTCTGCTGGAATGCAGTAGATAACCTCTGATCTAGAATATATTTAAGACTTCTATGATCAGTCTTGATGAAATGTTTGTTGAGTAAATAGTGTCTCCATTTCTGTACTGCAAACATCACAACCATTAATTCTTTCTCATAGGTGGATAGGGATTGCTGTTGCTGGTTCAAGTTTCTGCTTATAAAAGCAAGTGGATGATGATCTTGCATAAGAACAACACCTATGCCATAACCTGAAGCATCAACCTCCACTACAAAGGTTTTATCAAAACTTGGTAATGCTAATACTGGAGCTTCAGTCATAGCATTTTTCAGCAATTGAAAAGCATCTTTATCTTGGCATGTCCAACTAAAATTGTCTTTTTTAAGTAATTCAGTTAATGGTTTGGCTATGCTACCATAATTCTTCACAAATCTTTTATAGTAGCCAGTGAGCCCTAGGCAAACCCCTCAGTCGCTTGACATTTTGCGGAAGTGGCCAATCAGTAATTGATTTAATTTTCAATGGATCAGTTGAAACTTCTTGGCTTGAGATAAAATGCCCCAAATATTCTACTCTATCCACCCCAAAGTAGCATTTACATCTCTTAGCATTCAATTTATTCTACCTCATAATCAGAAAAACTTCCATGAGATGTTGAATATGATTAGCCAAACTTTTGCTATATATCAAGATGTCATCAAAGAAAACTAATAGAAACTTTCTGATAAAACTCCTGAATACAAAATTCATAAGGTCTTGAAATGTGACTGGTGCATTGGTAAGGCCAAAGGGCATAACAATATATTCAAAATGTCCATTGTGAGTCTTGAAAGCAGTTTTATGAATGTCCTTTGGATCCATTCTGACTTGATGGTATCCAGCTCTAAGATCAATCTTAGAAAAAATTGTTGAACCATGCAACTCATCCATTAAGTCTTCAACTAAGGGAATTGGAAACCTATCTTTCACTGATCCTTTATTTAATTCCCTATAATTAACACATAGCCTCCAAGTTCCATCTTTTTAAGCAACCAGTACTACAGGATTGGCAAAAGGACTACTACTGTTTTGTATCAAACCAGAATGCATCATTTCTTGAACTAACTTGTGTTAGGAACCAAGAATTAAACAGAAAAAGAAAAGAAAGTTTCTTTATTGAATAGATTGAAAAGAACAAGAAATAGGAGAAGACTCTCCTCCAAGGGTTTCCCCTTCACAAAGGATTTCTCCTTTTACAAAGAGCTAATGCTCAATTTACAAAGAATATCTCCCCCCTTCTCCTATCCTTCACACCCTATTTATATTTAAACAACACCTTATGCAATTAACTAACTTATTAATATGCTAACTATCTTCTTAACTTCTCTTTCCCCTTATACCCTAACAATACACCCCGCCTAAAAATCAACCTTGTCCTCAAGGTTGTATAGTAGAAACTTGATCCCATTACTCATTCTTATTACCATGATCATCATCAATTAATTCCTCAATTACTGGAATGGGGAATTTATCTGCAACCGTGGCCTTATTGAGAGCCCTATAGTCAATACAAAATCTCCAACTTCCATCCTTTTTTTTTACTAATATCACTGGGCTGGAGAATGGGTCATTCATCGGGCCTAATGATACCCATCTTCAACATCTCTCGCCACTTGTCTTTCTATTTCAGCCTTTAAAAAATGTGGGTACCTATAAGGTCTAACATTGACGTATTTTCACCTTCTTTAATGGGGATTCTATGGTCTACTGGTCGTTGGGGAGGAAGCCCGAAACATCCCGAAATAACCCACTCGAATTCTTCTAAAATACCCTCCAACTCATTTGTCCGTCCGAGTGGTTAAAACTGTTTCTCCCTTTTACTCGCTGGCCCCACTGCTGCCATTTCCCGAGTATAGTTATGGCCTCTATATCTGTCTCCTTTATCAAAGCACTACGGAGAAATCAATTTTTTGGTAAGGGTAGGGTCACCTCTTATCTCAACTTGTTGTCCTTCCCACTCAAAATTCATGGTTAACGATTTCCAATTAACTTTTACTTCTCCCAAAGTTGCCAACCAAGCTATCCCCAATATCAAGTCTACTCCACCTAGCTCAAAAAGGAAAAAGGTTTCCTGCACTTCATAATTACTTAGGCTCACTTTAATATCCTTGCAGACACCCACAGAGTTAACTTCTTTTGCCCATCCCCAAGTTTCACACAATAAGGCCTCGTCTCTTCCACTTGCGAGACCTAGTTCCGCCACTAAACTTGAAGCAACAAAATTGTGACTAGCCCCACTATCAATCAGGATCAGCACCTTTCTCCCTTTAATCCACCCCGACAGTTTCATGGTGTTTGTTGGTGTTAACCCTCCTGCTGAAAACAAAGAAAGCTCCATCCTTTTATGTTCCATCTCTAGTTTTTCTTCGTCCTCTTCTTCCTCTCCAGGACCCTCTTCTTCTTCCTCTTCCGCAATGATGATTACTCTTAAATTTTTTTCGGGCACCTATGACTCGGACTCGAAAGGGCCCCCACAATGAAAACACCTTCCTTCCTCCCTTCTTCGTATATATTCGGGATATGGCAGATTCTTCACTCCTCTTGTTCCGACCTCCCTATAGAAGTATTTCCTACCTTGGACCCCCATGAAATATCCCCTGTCCCCTTCCCAGCGTATTGTTATTACTCGGGCACTCCTTGGGAAGAACCGAGATCCTTTAAAGGTCTCGGTTCTTGATATCTTGCTCGTTCCTCCTTGATAACGGAATCCGAAGTTTTGTTCGGTACACATTTCCTCCTCCTCCACTTGTTTCTTTCATGACATCTTCAACATCTCTTGCTACCTCCATAGCTCTTAACAAATCCCTTGGGTCGTGAGGCCTGATTTGTTTACGAATTTCAGTTCTTAGTCCCGCCAAAAAATATCCCGAAGTTGGTCTTCCTCCATAGCTGGGATTTGAGACACTAAAATTTCAAATTCCTAAGTATATTCTTCCACACTTC